AAAAAAAAAAAAAAAAAAAACGTAAAATTACTATCTTAGAAGATTTACTTCTCTCGCGATTTTGTGACGAGCAAAAGTATATATAAAGCACGTATCAAATATGAAAGATCTTACGCAAAATGATATGGAAGATCTTCATAATGGGATAGTAGCCTTCCTTGTCCAACTTGTACATAAATCCGCAATAAACATCACATTTAGCAGTTATCACATACATGTCCAGGGAATATCATATCATCATGTAAGTGAAACATCACTAATGTGCTCCCCATAAAAAAAATATTACAACACCACTCAGCCTCGAAGATATTATTAGAAATAGGAACCCATTAGTTTCAATCATTTTCACCATATGAATCTCAATAAGCAGAAACCAAACCAAACCAAACCAAAATGTGAACATCATATAATATTAAACAAACCCATTACCACAGTATATTTTTGTACTAAATTACCTCAACAAGGACCAAGAGCAGGAAGCATCCATCTTTACAGTCGCAGTCAAGCAGGAGGCTCCCCACCATATGTGTCCTCGTCGAAATCCTCATTCGCAGAGTTTTCTTGGCAGAGCAACTTATCCTCCTCCGCGACTGACTTCAATCCGAGACCGTTCCACATGACAGGGCTGGGCCCGGCATCTTCCACGTGATCACCATTGTGGCAATCATGATCCGATCTCTTATCATCGCCCCCAGACAGAGCCTCAACATTGAGATCTGAAACCAAATCGAACCCCGATTCCCCCTGACCTCCCCCAGGGTACGAAGCAACAGTAACATCCCCCGTCTCGGACACCTCTTTCTTCTGCCGTCTCCATTTCTTGGTGGACGAGGTCCCGTCATCCTCAAAATCCTCCTCCTCCCTGTCCCTATGCAAGTAAACCCACAGTTTTCTTTCACCGTCAAACTGGACGCATGGGTCCCGCTCGTAATGCAAGCGGTCCAATGCGCCACTGACCACTTGATTGACCTGGGCATCAGATACATCCTCCACAATGTACTGTGAGTCCCGAATCAATGTGCACACATCTGCCCTTGTGCCAATGCTCCCGGGCAATCGGGAAGCTGCATCCCGCACAAGGCATAGGATCGTGACATGTGGTGGCCGGTCGCGCTTCAGCATGAAATGGTCACGGGCTTTTGACGTGGGCTTGCCGCCGCACCTCCTTAGGGGGGCGACTATTGATTTCTTGCCGTCGACAGCTGTGTACGAGAAAGCACGGTCAGGTATTAGGTAGCGAAGGACTTCCTCTTTCCGGAAGTAGGCTTTGACTTCCTCGGAGCTCGAGCCTATGGTGTTGAGACTCTTCTGGGCTCTCAGGTCCTTAAACCTCTCCTTCTCGTCCAGATTGATTTGCATGAGTGTCTGCGGCGGATCGGGAAGGGTTCCGATCTGCTGAAGAGTTTCCTGGCTGTTTTTCAGCCAGTTTGCAAACGAGTCAACCAATTTGACGAGCATTTTGTGAGGAAGGCCCCATGCATCCGGTGAAGTCACCTCCTCAATGCCCTCAGAGTTGGACAAGGTTTGGGAGACAGGACCAGTCCATAACCAGCTTTTAGTAGGCTTCTGATAGACAACGAGTGGTTTCCATCCCTTTGCCCCCAACGGAGCAGTTCGGGATGAATATATTTTCAGAACACCTCTGATCAGATCCTGAAGTGGCTCTTGTGTTTCAAGAATGCAGGGATCGCTGGGGTTTGAACGAACACGGTTAACGATTTCCTGAACAGTGAGCGAGGGGATGTTCACTTGAGCTGAAGGCTCAGAATTGTTGGCATCCATGTGTGAATTTGTATTAACAACGGTAACATCTACCTGGTTTAAGCCTTTCTCATCCTTGCACCTCTTTTCAGCACCATTGTTATCAAGATGCTTCCCAGTCTCTAACGAATCTTCCGGAAGAAGAATGATCATAGCCATACGAACAGCTGAAAGAAGATGTATGATGGAGAATGAAAAGCCAGTGTGAACGGTAGGCGTGATTATAGGAAATGACTTTTTCTGTCGTTTAGTTTCTGCCTCAACATCTTCCATTTCCATTTCAATGGCAGCTGGCTCAGAAACTTTCGTCTCCAAAATATTGGAAGCATCTTCAAGCTTGTTTTTTCCGCGTTTCTTTGAAGAGCTGATATTATCAAGTTGCAGCTCAGTATCAGCATGGATGTATTCTTTATTATCTTGTAGGTCCATGTGTGTCAAGTCATTCTTTACTTTCCTCTTCTTGAAGAGAGTTTCACAACCCACCAATGGTACATTGGATGTATCAGGGTGATAGCCAATAGGAAGGTCAATCGTCTGGCCTTTCATACCCAAATTTTTAGGAACCCCATTATCAGCTACCAGAGGCCGCGCCCAAAATAAGTCATCGTCGAATTTATTGTTTTGCATATAATTGGACTGAGGTAGACACAAATCAAGGGAAACATCACCTTTTCGCCTTTTCCCTTGGGCCAGTGAGGATTTCAGTGATGGCATTTGGAGACCGTCCTCATGATTGTCTTCTGCATGGCCATTTCTTTCCAATTGGTAGAATGGTTGCCGATCATCTGCACCAGTTACTCCAGGGAAATAATTCCTATCCAAATTTTTAGGCGGCAAAACAAAGCCAACATCATGCATCTTACTCTTCTGTCCTGAATGCATCATCGCATGAGTTTCTCCATAATCCTCCAACTTACGAGCAAAATGCGATGATCCATCATCATTAGTAGTGTGACTGGTTTTCTTGCCTCTCTTGAGAAGTTGGGAATTCTTTGTGTCTGGAAAAAATTTCAGATCTCGGACGCCACCAGGGCATGCCCACTTGCTCCTCATCAAAGGATTGTCCTCTTTATCTCTCTCCAGATGGTCTGATGAATCGGATTCCGTGTCTTCGCTTCTATATAATTTACTGATACCTCTGGTACCTGCTCCATCTCTCCTTCCATGTACAGAACTTGTATTTAACTTCTCCTGTGGAAAATTTAATCTGTGTTCAGTATGAAACAAATTATCATTTCCATTCAGATCAACAGCTTCTCTACCGATATCTGACCTCTTAGTTTTAGCATTCGAAGCACTAAGTTTACTTGAAAAATTCGTGGGGAACAGCCCTTCTTGTCCACTGAGCCATGTCGTATCATTTGCATCTAGAAGATCCCTTTGACTTCCTCCTCTTAGGGACAAGGTTGACTTCTGATCTTTCCCAAATTTTACTCGATTATCAACATTATATTGATGGAGATTCTCAGCGTACTTCACCTTTTTCCCTCCACCATATATGTCTCTCACATTAGTCGGTTTCGCAGTCAACACCTTGATGTCAGACAACTTATTAATACCCTTATCCCTGGTAATAGCCTGTGTATTGTTCCTTGCTGAGATAGAAACTCCCATGAAACTTCCTATATCCTCTTCAGCTCTAGCACCTTTACGTTTTTTCCATTTATAAATTGCAGGCTCATCAACCTTCATTTCAATCCCATTATCCTCCTCTAAAGTATGCTCATACGTTGATTCTTTGTTATACAAAGGAACGGGGGGCGTCATACCATATCTCCCCGACTTCGCCTCAACTCCAGGTGGAATTGAAGAGAATGGCTCAGCCAACTCTTTAACTGAAGTGCTTTTTGGTCCAGACAACTTCAAAGTTCCTTTCGGATTTCGTTTTCCGTATTTTCCTGGATCGAGGGCAGTTTTCCGGCCATGAGAAGAAACTTCTGAGGCTGGACCCATGCCATACCCAGAATAATGAACTGCCTTCTTCCCCAGCTTCCGGTCATTCATCCTTTTGTCCCACACAGCATCACCAGACTCTTCTCTGTCAGATGACTCACTCTCATCTTCTTCCATGTTCTCGTTCATCAAACTCTTCTGACTCCTCATAATGTTCAACACACGAAGCTTCTCCTCAATACTGTAACCCTTGCAGTTCAGCCACGCGTCCCTAATCTGACAGAGATTGTTCACCATGGTATTATGGTGCTTTCGCAAGTTATGGTAATGCCGTCTCCTCTGCAAGAAATTCAAACCCTGCCTATACAAGGCCACCCTCGGCTCGCACAACCCTCCCTTCAACATCTCAAATAATTTATCGGTAGGACACCCAAAATGCAGGTTATCACCAGAGAAAAGTTCTTTCAGGGTGCGCACAAAATTCTCATGATCAAGATCAGGCAAATACTTGGAAAGAGAGAATCTTTCCTCCTCGGTGAGAACCTCATTCCACACCTCCATAGATAGCACATCTTTCAAACCAGGAAGATCGTACAGTTCATAGGGTATGCTGCGCGTTTGATCGCCAGCCTGGCAAAACTCTTCACCAGTTTCACCTAATTCTAGTAGATCAAAATCATCAGAGCCTGCTCCCGAATCACAGTCATCGAATTCCTCATCATCGTCAGACTCCACATTAGGGCCGGAGTTTTGCCTTGGAAAATCTTCATCATCGCTAGACATAGGTGTATCCCTAGTGTGTGGAGAATGAAACTCCGTGTCGAAACGAGCTACTTTAAAGCTATTCTTTTCAATCGCCATCCAACACTAACATAACCCGGAAGGACCCACAAATACAAATCACAGCTTACCAGAATACCATAACTCCGGGAATAAGATATACCGGCTACAGTCCAACACCTAACCCTAGATTAAGAAAACGATTACACATCAGTTTCTAAGATGAATATAAGAACCTGAATTACAACCAAAAATTGAAAATCACACCAAGATAGACGCTTACGACAATGCATTAAAGAAATTGGGCCTAGAATTACAACCACCACTGAATTCACAATCCCAATATCTCATCAGACCACTCGAAACATCATTTCGAG